TATATATTACAAATAAATATTAAAATATTTATAAACATTAAAAGCGTTTTCTTAATCAATCCTGAATTGATTGGGAATAGTATTTATTTTTGTGAAACTTACTAAACTGTGAGCTAATACGAATTCAAAGTGAAATTAATTTAAAACAAAATTTTAAAACGAAATAAAAAGTTTAATGTAGCTGGAAATAGTTTTACTACATATAATGTTAAAAGAACTAGGAGAACAAAAGAGTTCGTACGAGTTTAAATTGAAATTGTGAGTATTTTAATAAAGTGAGTATTTAAATAATTGCAAATAAAAGCTAAAAAGTATTACGTTCGTGTCCTGAAGCTAACTCTCAATCAAATAAGTTCACATTGGTTCCCAAGTTCATTGCACCCTGAATCAGTTAAGTTCCCGCAGCTCACACCGGTTCAGCTCATAAATTTCATACAATGGCAAATCCACTTTAGCCGAAATCGAGTCAGCTCCAGTCAAAATCAACTATTCGAGGCCATCAAATGCCGCCTCGAATTTGAGCATTCAAATAACCTGAGTATGGTAAGTAAGTAGAATATCACGTATGATGATGATAATGATGATGATGCTGATGATTCACCCAAACGACAATTCAATGCAGTTGATGCAACAAACTCAACTATAAATAAGTATTTTTCTATTTTTGCATCGAGCTGCAGCAAGTCAAACAGAAAGACGAGAGCCAAGCAGCTGTCTAATTCCAGGGCAAGGCTGTCATATACGAACAGGACATGGTCCGACAGAGTTCAGTTGGACGGGCCAAAAGGGACTCCGGACTTGAGCCGATGTCAAGAGTCAAGAGGTTAGAGACCCAACGAATGCCAAAGCTTACTCTGTCTGTCTGTCTGTCTGCTTGTGTGTGTGTGTGTGTGGGCCGTAACTTAAAAATAAACTTCCCGCTCGTATGTGCGGTTGTATTCAAGCAGACGAAACACAAACAAATTTGCTGGCTCCAGATGAAGCTGAGGATATTTAAGCAGCCAAACAAAACTAAGAAATGTATAGAAAAAGCACTCGCAAAACGTTTGAGATGGTCAATAAACTTTTCGAACCAAGTGTGAGTGGTATCTGTCTGTGTGTATGTGTGTGTATGTGTGTGTGTGTGTGTGTGTGTGTGTGTGACTGTGTGTGTACGGATGATTGGTTTAGAAGCTTTGCCAAAGTAGGGGCTCAAATTGGCTGCTCGCCCGCCTTGGTAAACTTTACTCGTGTCTATTTCATGTTTATATGACCATATACACATATAAATACATATGTACATATATAGATATATAGATCTGTATGTCTGTATATTTGCCTGTCTGTGTACATTTCCAATTGGAAGCAATTGGTCTGTGTGCAGCAATTGGACCAACCACAAGCCAACAAACGCAGCCAAACACTGTGGAGCCCCACATTATCTTGTTTTCTGTTTATGACTAAACATTTGTGGCATGCATCATTAAATGCTCCAAAGGTTTATCGTAACGTTTCTATAGATCGTATAATTAATTATTAAAATATTGTTTAATAGCCCAACATTTATGGCAAAAACAGCTATGCGTGCGGATAGAGCAGGCAAAAGTCAACTAAACAAGAGAATTGCCACATCATAAAACATTTATTATTAGGGCAAGCATATTGTTAATTAGAGCTGATGAGATGGAGTATGAGAAGTTTTTTAGGGACTTGACGCACGAGCGCAAAGCATTTGGGATAATTTACTTAATGAAACACTTGTGAAAACATTTTATAGTCAACAAGAATCTTCTGGCATATATAAAACAATTAAAAGCATGAGCAATAATCATAGACATAGGCTTATTATCCAAGACAAGCAACAGCTTATCTTCTTCACAAGAAAATTTTTATGGAAATTTCTTAATATTGCAATGTATTATGAAAATACGAATTTCTTTTAACCCCAGACGCGTTCAAGTTTTTCATTTAACTAGCTCTTCTTCATTTTTATTATAACTTAAGCATTTGTCTTTGAGGTTAAACATTTTATTGTTGGACCTATCTGATTCTTGACAAACATCATTTGTTATGAATGAGAATATTTTTTATAGCCGTCTTTATTTCGCTGTATAATGTTATTTGTCTGCTTATTCATCATAAACTGTCTTCAATTTGTTTGCTATAAGTAAATTGCAATAAAAGAATGCATTAACTATAGTTGTCAATAAACAAAGCGAAATTGAAAAGATATTCTAAA